GGGCATTCCGTCAACCTTGCCAAACTCAGTTTGACAGTTACATCATGATCATTTGCCATCACACTTTCTTGTGGAAGTATCGATGTACATGTATAATGGAATTTTTTTACGTTCGATATATCAGGTGATTTCAAATTGGTATTTTTATCCTGTGTTTAATGTTATATACTTGCCAAATGCTGTCGCTGCCCAGGAGCGAGCAGCATGGGCCCCAAGATGGCTGCATATTTTTTTAATGTGTAAACAATATGTTGTACCAGCATCTTGTTTTGTTCCATTTATTAACTTCAATTCATACTTTAATGTTTTAGACTGTGCATTGCAAAATATTGTGATACACTTTAAACCTCCAATACCCATCCCTAATAATGTAATTACTGTTGAGGCAGCTATACCACAGTGGTCTGTGTATACTGTAGAATGTACATGATGTAACTACCGTTATGTTAGTTATACCACAGCATTCTGTGTATATTGAATAATGCAATTATGTCAGTTTTACCATATTGACCTACATGTATAATAAATACATAGGTGTCAGTTATGACACACCTGTAAATACATGACATGCTGACCTGTATATACAGTAAATAGTACTAAATGTATGTGTCAGTTATAACATGTATAACACACCGACCTGTATACAGTCAATAGTACTAAATGCATGTGTCAGTTATGACACACTGACCTGTATATACAGTAAATAGTACTAAATGCATGTGTCAGTTATAACATGTATAACACACCGACCTGTATACAGTCAATAGTACTAAATGCATGTGTCAGTTATGACAAACTGACCTGTATATACAATAAATAGTACTAAATGCATGTGTCAGTTATAACATGTATAACACACCGACCTGTATACAGTAAATAGTACTAAATGCATGTGTCAGTTATGACACACTGACCTGTATATACAGTAAATAGTACTAAATGCATGTGTCAGTTATAACATGTATAACACACTGACCTGTATACAGTAAATAGTACTAAATGCATGTGTCAGTTATGACACACTGACCTGTATATAGACTAAATAGTATTAAATGCTAAGGATGGGTATTGGAGGTTTAAAGTGTATCACAATATTTGTGCAATGCACAAGGACTTGTTGCGATATATATCATGATATATTGTATAATTCTAAATTTTAAATTCAGAAGCAATCTGATACATTAAAGTATGAACTGAAGTTCATAAATGGAACAAAACAAGAAGCTGGTACAACATAATGTTTACTATTTTAATAAATACACAGCCATCTTGGGGCCCAGGCTGCTCGCTCCTTGGCAGCGAAGGCATTTGGCAAGTATATAACATTAAACACATGATAAAAATACCAATTGGAAATCACCCGATATATCGAACGTAAAAAAGTTACATTATGATATGTATTGTGGAAAGAATGAACCTCAATTTACCGATATACCGGTAATACCGCACCCTTACTAAATGCATGTGTCAGTTATAACACACTGACCTGTATACAGTAAATGTGTCAGTCATAACACCATGGGCTGCATATACAGTTAATATGTGTTTCAGTTATAACACAATGGGCTGCATATACAGTAAATATGTGTCAGTTATAACACAATGGGCTACATATACAGTAAATATGTGTCAGTTATAGCACAATGGGCTGCATATACAGTTAATATATGTTTCAGTTATAACACAATGGGCTGCATATACAGTTAATATGTGTTTCAGTTATAACACAATGGGCTGCATATACAGTAAATATGTGTCAGTTATAACACAATGGGCTACATATACAGTAAATATGTGTCAGTTATAACACCATGGGCTGCATATACAGTAAATATGTGTCAGTTATAACACTATGGGCTACATATAATACAGTAAATATATGTCAGTTTGACACAATGGGCTGCATATACAGTTAATATGTGTTTCAGTTATAACACCATGGGCTAAATATACAGTTAATATGTGTTTCAGTTATAACACAATTGGCTGCATATACAGTAAATATGTCAGTTATAACACAATGGGTTGTATATACACTGAATATATGTGTCAGTTATAACACAATCGGCTATATATACTGTAGTATAATTTACAGTATATACAGCTGTGTGGGCTTTATGCCAGCAACATGTGTTTACCATTGCATGGAACAGAAATCCTTATTCAATGTGATCAAAGTGTTCAGTCACAGTGTGTCAGCTTGGAGGGAGCATCACCAACGGACATATTGCTCTGTTCGAAATATACGAAATAAAGCATGGAAGTCGAACGGACAAGTCACCACACCCACCCACCCCCAAAGGTCCACAGTTGTGGCTGTTCAGCACTGTGACCAAGGATAACCAAATCATCTAACTCCATCAATACAACTTGTCAGTCAGACAGAGGTTGTGATAATATACAATGTTTTTAATTAGGACTAACGATTCACCTATACCTACGATATCATCGATACATATATACACATGATACTTGAATCATCAGTTTATGAGATTGTGATACGCTATAAATTGTGAGTGAGTGAGTTGGGTTTAACGCCGCTTTTAACAGTATTCCAGTTATATCACGGCGTGTCAGCTTAATGTGGGAGGAAAGCCCGAAGTGATGCAGGTCTAAGACGTTTACCACTTCGGTGAAACCCACGAGCACGGGTATGGTGCTGACAAACCTAGAAACATAATTGGGGCGAACCGGGATTCGAACCCACAATCATAGGTTTCTGGCGTGCCCAAGGGACGCAACTCTGCACAGCGAATCGCGGCGCCTTAGACGACTGGGCCACCCGTGCCCCCCGCTATAAATTGAACAAGATCATGATATGCTAGGATAGAACAAGAACTATTAGGGTTAATCCCATAATGGCAGAAGTAGCACAGCGCCACCTGTAACCATGGCAGAACAGAAGGACGTGATGTTGAGGACATGCCGACTAACTTTATATTAAGGAACCATCCCTTCATTTAAACCTGTTTTGTTCTTGTGGTTTTCGTTGTAAAAGTTTTTGAGATGCAGTGTTAGAAATTGGCACTAGTCCTATAGTCTTTTGCCCAACTGTCTAATAGTTTAGGTATCATAAGGTCTAGTAGAAATTTGCCTTTTTAAAAGGTTTGCTACATGTTATCATCATAAGGACTAGTGGGCTAAACCTGTTAGTTTCTATCGCTGAGATGTCAATACATAAATGTTTGAGGAAAGAGGTCTTGAAGCTGTATTTCAGTGATTTCATTTTTTCTTACTATTTGATGTGGTGTATCATGACGCCAGTAGTATCGTCTGTCAATCTCGTGTTACCAATCATATCGCAAGATACCAGGCAATAATCATCTCTATTTTTAATCTTCAGCTAATCAAAATTTAGAAGTGTTAGTCAGTGAGTAGGGCTTATGCCCTTTCAGCAATATTTCAGCAATGGGCTTCACATATCACCCATGTGGGCCCATTGTGGGTCATCAAACCCGGATATTTGGTGTGACAGCACTTTAACCACTAGGCTGCCCCCATATTGCAGACTCAGCAACATTATTGATAGTCTTGAGTAGTCATGTGGTTGGGACATATAGCGCAGTGTTCAAAATCAAGCATGACCATGATGAAAGTCAAAGGGTCCTGATCATAACCCCAGTGCTACAATGTAACATCGATAGGGTCCGGGATTCCAATACTGTAGCAGCAAACAGCCAAGACCCCTCAACTTCTTTATATCATATTCTGTATATTCACTGCACAGCATGTATAGAACAGTGGATGAAAGTCTACAAGTGAATAAGGAAATGCAGATGTGGTACGGAAGCTGGCTGATGCACCTGGGAATCCCTGTCAGCTGAATGTTATATACTGAAGCAGTCAGACCAAACCTGCATCTCCAGTCCCACCGCAGCATCTATGATCAAACAACTAGTACTGCTCACAAAGTTATTCTGAACATTTCAGTGTTCTTTATGTTAGTAAACTTTTACACCAATCTTCATGATCATACAAAAAATTGGCACAAGTCCCACAGTCCTTGCCAAATTTCCCAATAGTTAAGGTAGCATGAGGACAAATAGAAATTTGCCATTTTTACAGGTTTTGCTGTATATATTTCATCATTAAATGGACTAGTGGGCTAAAAATACTAGTTCATATCACTGCCTTAGGATATAAATAATTAATTGTATTTCAAGTTGACATAAAAGCAAGATTTGTATTATTTTTAGTTTCACTGCATAGATATCATAATATAAAGTACCATGTTTGCTGATAATGAGGACTGTATAATAGCCATAAATATATATATAAGAATCATATGGTCAAGAAAATATGTTTTCATCACATATCACCAACATAATATGCACATCACATAGCTGGACTCTGATAAACATGGTGCTTCTCATTAATCATAGCTGGTGTCATGAGGTTCATATTTATAACATTTAGAGCCAGATGAAAATAAGCAAAAACAACTTTCTGAACATCGATGATCACACCTACAATGACAGTTGTGTGACTAGGTATAAGTAATTGAATTACTTCCATATTTTGAAACAAAATCTGTTTACTGTTCGACACGTTTATTCTAAGCAGTTACTCATCTGTCAAAATCACCTGATCCAGTGAGCATACACCGATCTACACATTCCCTGATCATACAGTAAACTTTATGTAATACTCCCCATCTAACTGTCACACACAGTTATATTCCCCCTATAACACTGCTCGACGTACGGAGTGGGTCTAATTACTATCATCAAGGATTTCATTCATCAGTTGTACAAAAACCACTCCCACCCATTCTTTTCGTGTACAAGTGCCCTTTGAGTTTTTTCGGTAGGGATTTAGGCAGTGTGAGTATCCGATGGTTGCTCACAATCACTCAGGCTACAGTGGCTGGTAATGTCCACAGAGGATGTAAAGCGGGCAGTGACTAGATTGATAAGATTTGAGCCGTCCCGGCCTCTACAATCACAATATAGACTATGGTAGGACTCAACGAGTGGGCAAGGTTTGCAGTCGACACCTACCGCTTTCAAAGCCGCCAGACGGTCCTTCGTCATTTTCACACACAACTACAGTCCGGCGAAAGGTTAAAATTTCACATATATCCGAAAATGCCTTTCCTATGCCATAGATTAGAGCTGGGAAGGTACAGAAACACGGCTCAAATGACAACGATCAAATCAATACAATTTTAATATTTGCATGTAGACGGAATCCATTACTGCGCATGTCAACAAAGTTGTTCCTACTTCCTGTAGCATAATTTTAGAGCTCCATCTGGCGATGGTAGGCGGGACTCGCGTATCCAACTGACAGCAAGACAACGCAAGATGTTCACGAAAATCTTATCATTATTATTATTTGTTGAAGAGAAAAACAAGTATGACAATTTTTTTGTAAAATTAATGTAGAAATATTATATATTATAGAATATATAGATCTAAATGAAATTGTATTTTTTTTAAATATAGACTCTAGAGTCTATGAATAAAGTTGTCAAAACATTAATTCAGTGCCCTTTAGAAATTTATAATATGTTCGCTGTCATGTTATCAACTCTCTAGACCATTATGCATGAAAACTATCTACACAGAGAAAGTTTCGGATTTATTTAGTTACAACGATAATCATATTCTCTGATACAATCGTCTCAAATACAAAAATGCTCATTATTTACTGATGAAATACTACAGTTATCTCCGAATATTAAATCGACATTTGAAATAACTTGAGTGAAATAACACTGTATCCAGGAACTAGTTATAATAAAATTCACTGACAAAATGTTTTCATATAAAAATCATTTCTGGTGTCCCTCGCCGTGATGTTGCTGGAATATTGCAAACAGCGACGTAAAACCATACTCACTCAATCACGCATATGAAGAACTGTATTCAATTTATTGATGACGAACAATTGATGACGTCATATCGTATTTCTGTCACAAATGAAGCACCGAGACGCCATATGGCTTCACATGAAACATCATTATTGAAATCGCTAACATGCACACGTGCAGATATCTTAAAGTTATTACACAATAATAAATTACACCAGATAGATCTAGCAGTAGAGGGAATTAATAACGATTGGGTGTTTTCGCATGTGTATTAAGACATTCTCAGTGCTGATTGGTCAGCTGATACGATATGACGTCACAATGCTCCATTGTTGAGAACACTTCGATATGATGTCATTCATTGTTCGTGACGTCACAAATTTATACCATTACGTCATCAGACAAAAGGGAACTTTAGTTTAGTTTCTTAGGCTGACATATCCTACCCTTTTCTACATTTCCCGTTACAAAATAGGTAGTAAAAAAATGAAATTAAGCATGGGGTCTATTTGGATTTTTTTTCTTTGAAGATATATATTCTGGTAATAAATGTTAATGTACAGGTAACCTAATAACCCTACATTAAAAACACTGTCCGTTATCTCCGTTCTGATATGACAAAACTAAAGACGAACTTCATGGTGTTATATTGAGTGAAGCGTATGGCTTCAGTCGAATGTTTTCAGTGGGTTGTAGACCTGAATTAGGAGTACTCCCATAGTTGTCTGATTAGACTGAGTCATGGCGCTGAATATGCTCAATCATTGTACGTTTTCCTCATCATGCTCTACTCGTATTTGTGACAGAAATTGAAAGTGAAATAATTAAGCGGTCAACCGTTAAGAAATAATCAACAAATAACTTGGAAACTACTCTATTTTGATCGGCCACTCGGAGGTTTCAGATCAAAATAACTACATCTGAGCATCTGATTTGACGGCAGAACCACGCCAAAAGCTCATATTTACATAAAACGTACTACAATATTCACAGTGTGTCTAGCAATAGAATTTAGGCAAAATCCGCAATAGAAATCGACTGAAAGAGGAGTGTATTTCAAGTTTACTGCACAAATTTTCAATGGCCGACTGTTGACGTCATATCGTTAATTGAAAAAAAACTCTATAATCTGTTCTTGTATTAAAAGCTAGTATGCATGCATTTTTATAATATTTTTTATATGACTGACTATATCAATAGACAAAATGAATACATCAATAACGTTTATTTCTAAAATATATTTCTACAGATATATATCCCATATAAGGGCGGAGTGGTATGGTTTGTTTGTTTGTTTGTTTGTTTGTTTGTTACGGCACTCCGGTGTATATTAGTTACATGCCGTCGGCCTGTAAATGGACATGAGAAGCCAGTGATTGATGTCATGAGCAACGATCCACGCGGTCAGGGTACGATGACAAGCTATCAGCAAAGTCCCCGAGCCTGTCCACCCGATCCCCGAAGTCGTCTCGTGTCAAGCATGTATAGGTTGCGGGGGGCTCATTCTAACCCATGATCCCCGTGGGGCTTGGACGAGTTCCATGACCGGGGACATATATTAACGAAGCACTTTGAACATGCTACATAAAGGATTTTTGATTAAAAGTTATTAAAAAGTACAAAAGGGCTTAAGCACACCAGAATAGACAAATTATGTCAGGACTAGACGCCCCCAAATTGAAAGAAGATACATCAACTTTCGTTTCCTTTTAAACCTATCATTTCTGTCACTAAAGATGAAGTAGAGCATAAACAATTTTGGAAATCGTTATGATATATGATAAGTGGAAAAATAATTGTAAAATTACTGAAATATTTTTGGGCTTTGTAAATTGCCTGAGTGAAAATTTCATTTTACACATTGACTATAACAGACAGTCTGACAGGCAGACAGATTTATTCAGTATAAAGGCCAGAGGCCCAAATACAGTCATTTCATATCATTTCATTGACTGTAACATATACACATATATAAATCACATATGATAGCACCCTGGTTAAAGTGATCGCTCCTCACACCGAAGACCTGGGTTCCAGCAGCATCCTCTACACAATTTACATGGTGATTAACTTTCTCACGACATGCCCATATAAATTTGTTATAACGCCGCATCGAACAATTTCAGTTATATCACGGCATTATTATTCAGCATTACGTGGGAGGCAAGCTACGAAGGGATACAGGCGTTAGACGTGTACCGTTATGGTGAAACCAAGGAACGCGCGTCTGGTGCAGACAAACCGAGAAGCATAATCATGTCGAATCTGGGAATCGAACTCACGATCACAGGCAATGGCAAACATAAGGGACACAACTCTTCAATCAAATTTCAGCACCTCGGACGATTGCGCCAACCGTGCTTTTGTTTGTTTGTTGTTTAACGCCGCACTCAGCAATATTTCAGCTATATATGGCGGCGGTCTGTAAAAAATCGAGTATTTGACAGGCAATATTCCAGCTGTATGATGGCGGTATATAATCGAGCCTGATTGACATCGTGACATCAATATACGCAATTGGGATACGAAGACATGTATTAACCAAATCAGCAAGTCTGACCACCCGATCCCGTTAGTCGCCTCTTACGACAAGCATAGTCGCCTTTGGGTTGCTGAAGACCTATATTCTACCCCGGATCTCCACGAGTAGCGACACCCGTGCTCCCGTGTGCCTATATAATGCGTGACCTGGCTGTCATACCCAGAAGGGTCGTTATCCACTGAATAGTTTCCTGGTCCAAATTTGACTATTTCCTTACTATTATAAGTGTTAAGCTGTGTTACATTTTGTCAGGATTACTCCCGAAATAAACGCTTGCCCTTAGCCCGTGGCAGGTAGAACTTGTGTCGGGCCAGTAGTTTGAATGGCTCCTTATGGTTTGCAGTAAATTTATGTGAAGATATATTTGTAACGACAAGCTGCATGTTGTTTAATGAGGACCTTAAAAGTTTATATAGTCAGGGCATGCAGCTTCTAAAGTCTGTGGGCCCTGATGGCAGTCTGGCAATTTAATTATTTCTAACACTGGTATGTGGTCCACATCTCTGTTATCATCCGTCTCTATGGTAACTATAACTGTAACGAAAACAAAATAAACTGGTGTGTAAATTTAGTTACTAGAACCCTGTACAAATATTGCATTCGTGATATGGCGCATAAAACAGTGGAGGCGAGATAAATAAGGGATAAATGTCGCGTTCAAGATTATTAATAATAAGCGACGTACAGGCACGTGTGTATGGCTGTTTGTATATTAATGAGGACATGTCGGTTTAATTTATTCGTTTGTTTGTTTGTTGTTTAATGCCGCACTCAGCAATATTCCAGCTATATGACGGCGGTCTGTAAATAATCGAGCGAGTCTGGACCAGACAATCCAGTGATTGACATCATGAGCATCGATCCACGCAATTGGGATATGATGATATGCATCAACCAAGTCAGCGAGCCTGACCACCCGATCCCGTTAGTCGCCTCTTACCACAAGCATACTCGCCTTTTACGGAAAGCATGGGTTGCTGAAGACCCATTCCACCCGGGGCCTTCACGGGTACCGTTTCATATAGGCCACTGAGATACCACATTAGCCGCATTTATAACATGGATACCCCACTCAAGACACAGTAGACTGACTCCGAGCAGACCAGTCCTTGCCTTATTCCCTAATGCCGAGCGCCAGACAGGGTAACAACAAGTATACCATCTTTTAACGTGTTTTAGTCGGAGGCGGCCAGGGAATCGAAGCCGTTCCGCTCTCTGGACAGACGCTCTATCCACTAGACCTCGGAGACGATTAGAGCAGTGTGACCTGGTGACACTGCATGTATGAACTTAATAACAGACATGTTACGCATATAGACATATCACGCAGGTTCAGGACGTGACCATGTACATTGCTTCATATAATGTTGCCATGCGACGGTGCGTCATTTATCTACCACCTATGGCGGGAAATGCTGCTCCACTGTCAACATTTGTCATAACACAAACGAGAGAAATATTACATTTTGTAGGAAGTAAATATAGTTTCGTTTGGGAACTATCGTATTTGATGTAGAATAAAAATAGTTTCATTCGGATGCGTTCGCGACAAAATTGATAGATCTGACATAATATATTCTTTTGATGAAGGTAAAAGGGAGATGACATATCTAGACTAGATTGTTTGTTGTTTGTTTGTTGTTTAACGCCGCACTCAGCAATATACCAGCTATATGACGGCGGTCTGTAAATAATCGAGTCTGGACCAGACAATCCAGTGATTAATATCATGAGCATCGATCCACGCAAATGGGATCGATGACATGCATCAACCAAGTCAGCGAGCCTGACCACCCGATCCCGTTAGTCGCCTCTTACGGCAAGCATTGGCTG